CTGGGTTGCGGGCACATCCCCAGTGGGAGATGTGCAGGAGGCAGCTGGTCGATGTTTCTCTCTCATCGATGTTTCTAACTCTCTATCTCTCTCCCTTCCTCTCTGTAAAAAATCAATAAAATATATTTAAAAAAAACAAAGAGTACCCTAATTAAGTTAAAAAAAATGTACCTCCCTATATAGTTTAAGTTTAAAAAATTTGGCTCTCAAAAGAAATTTCAATCGTTGTACTGTTGATATTTGGCTCTGCTGACTAATGAGTTTGCCGACCACTGGTCTAGCCAATCGCCAGCCCGGGAAGCTCATGTTCAGTGGGGACGAGATGTCAGGAAGTGGACCCAGGGTGCTGGGATCTGACTCACAGGCACCTGGGAGCTCGTTTTATAATCCTTTGCTCTGGCTGGCAGTCTGGAGGTGGTAAAAAGAAGGCATCCCAAAGAAATGCCATTTAAAGGGAGATCTCATGACCAGATGGGCATCGGCCGGGCAGAGAGGGAAGCAGAGCTCGGGTGGGAGGCCAAGGCCCGGACTGTCTGCCAGGTCCCGGGTCCCAGGCCACGCATTTCCCCTTGGAAACGCCTGGTGTCCGTCGGGTGCTGAGAGGATATTAGTTAGGCTAGTTGGTTTCAAGGAAGAGCAGCCCATTTGCCTTGGGGAAGGGGGGTCAAGAGTTCATTTCACCCCTACACGTACAAGGGAGCCCCGGTGATGCTGATGAACAGTTCTCATGGGCGGGAGCCACAGGGAAGCTGGCCCCAAGCAAGAGAAGGGCCGGGCTCAGGCGCCCTGGTCTGGGACTCACAGCTCTGCAGCGGCTCCGCGTGCTCCTGCCTGCTCACCTGCGACAGAGGCCTGTCCCTGCCACCACGTCTGTCACGCATGCTGCCCGTCCCCTTCTCAGGAGAGCGAATCTGTGCACAGCGAACAGCCCCCGTCAGTATCGGACTGTCCTTGATCAGGTGCAATCAGTGTCCTGGGAACAATTGATTCTGCCCAGAAAACACCGGGTCCTCCCCCAGCGGGCGGGGTGGAGTAGTTCGGCCAGATGGGAGCTGGAAAGAGCAGCATCCTAATTGTGCCTGGTCTTTGCCCCTGAGTGACGTGTAGCGTCATTGAGATTCAAGTGGTCTCACGCAGGGAATAGTGCTGCACAGTTAAACCCCACGCCGGAGGCCCAGGAGTGAACATGGAGAGGGAGGAGCGAAGGGCTGAGACTGAGCCCTGCAGCCAGGAAGCCTGAGTCGCGGCCGAAAGGACTGACTTATGAACACCTGCCTCAAGGTCAACGCAGAGAGCACATAGAGGCACGTGAAGGACTTTGTACACCACAGAAACGTAGATATCTTACTATTGCCAACATTCTTAGGACATGTTTGCAAAGTCATAGGAGTTATTCAGGATGCAGAACAGACATTTCAAGCATTAGCTCCAGAAATCCTGTAAAGCAGTGAGAGGGAACCGAATGCTCGTCCCAGGGCCTCCTGGCTACACCAGCCATGCCCGCTGGGCAGGAGCCGGGAACCTGCTCTCGCCTCAGTCCTCTCATCTGTAAGGGAGGAGAGTAACAGCCACCTCAGGGCGCCACTGAGGAGCAAGTGAGCGGATATGCTTAGAGCCCTGGGCCATCGCTGCTTTGACTGGTTACCACCACCACTGGCCGCTGTCCCTGTATCGGGGCAGGTCCACACAGCGTGACTGGCCCCCGGGTGGCAGGCCTGGTAAGGCTGTGGGCGCAGGGGGCGCACCCCACAAGAGGCAGGCAGGACCCCGCCCTGGGGTCAGGCAGAGGAGCCTGCCTCCTGGGGGTCACGTGTTGAGATTGGAGGGTGCTCTGAAGAAAAAGGGAAGAAGGAGAAGAGCCTTTTGTACCTGAACTTAGGTTTCTTCCTGGCAGATTGGAGGACAGTTGGGGGAGGAATTCTAGTCCGTGTCTGTGTTGAAGGAGATAAAAACGTACACAGTTACTTGGTCCAGAGACTGATTGGCCCCGATCCAGCCTGGCTCTTCCTGCCCCCTGAGCACTGCACGAGAGGCCCCGCCGAGCAGTGCGGGGATTCCCGCCCCGTCCACCACCCGTCCGAGCCTCTGCCCTCCCCGCCAGCCTCCGGGACACTGGTCAGACTCCACCAAGTGGACCAGATGCGCACGAGGCTGTGCTAATGAGCTGAGATCTTTCAGGCGCTTCACTTAAGTCACAACTTGCCCTGACATTTAGCAACTTCGCACGCGGAACACGGATGAGCTCCGTTTCTGCGGGGGGGAATCGGGTGGGCTCGGCCGGGTCCTGAGGTCAGGGTCGCTCACCGCTGAGGTCTAGTCCAGGCTTGACTGGGCAGGGCCACTCCCAAGTCACTCACATGTTGCGGGGGGACCGGAGGCCACAGGTCTTCCCTGGCTGCTGGCGGAGTTGCTCTCGGTTCCTCGCCTCCCAGAGGCCCCTGGCAGCTTCCCCCCTCAGGGAACAATCCAGGAGCCGAGGGAGCAGACAGACTCGTGGGCTTTGTCACGGAGTCTCCGAGGCATGCCATCGCCTGCTGCGCCTTATTGAGCACCAGCAGGTGGGTCCAGCCCAGCGTCGCGGGGCGTGAGCGCCCGGAGCCATTGGTCCCCTTGGCACTGCCGTCCATTTACAAAGTAACCTCTGTAAAGTGATGCAGCTTCTGCAGCAGAGACGCTGACATGTCCGACTCACACGGCTCTTCCTCATCCACTCGAGGCCTCAGGGTGGGAGGGTGCCCTGCTCTGACCCAGTGGCCCGCTGCGGCCTCGCTGCCGCCTTGCAGGACGGCCTGGCCAAAGGGTGCAGGGCCACATGCAGGTGTTATGGGTGTGTGTTTTGTATCCCTTGCCCTCCAGTGGCCAGAACTCAGTCACGTGACTCAGGCCAGGGGCCTGGCGCCACTCCCTGGTGGGCAGCCACCCCCCAGCCTCTGCTCCTACTGGATGGGGAGCAGGAGCCGCTGGGCGCTGGCCTGGCCACCGACACTGCCCTTTGCAAAGCGCTGTCACAGGTGTGAGCTCTGCCTGTCCTCGGCCTGTGCTCCCAGCAGTCTCACCTCGTACAGGAGACAGCATCTCTCTGGAACAGTTAGGACAGTGTGCTGAGAGATAACAGGCTCCCGCCCATCACTGCCGCCGCCCCTGTGTGACCACAAACACTCTCCCTCCTCTCTGCCTCAGTTTCCTCATCTTGTAACGGGGCAGTAGCACCTGTTCAGGGTCGTCGGAAAGAACGCATCTAAGTCACAGTAAACCTGGCTTATGTACGTGCTTAATGACTATTCGCTGTAAGGAAGATGATCATAATGTTATGTCTGGAGACAAAGAAGTTGCCGCTCAAAGTAGTTAAATGATTTACCCAGAACTGTACAACTCACGCACCACAGGGGCCGGGGAGAGGCAGGTTTCAGCTAATGGCTTCCTACCTTTGGGGTTGTTGCTTCGCAGAGAGCACATTCGTCCGATTCCCGTGTCAAGCAGCGGCCAGTGAGCATTGAGCCAGAGACCCAGTGCCCTTCCCCTGGGCTTCCGTGGGCCCGGAGCCCCGAGAATCCACATGACATCACCTTTCACTCCTGCCGCTCTCTAACTCGCCTTTGCCTCCGCATGGAACGCTGCCCCGGCTCCTTTCTACGTGCTCCTGGGCCGTCCCAGGCCTGGGCTCCAAGGTCTTTATTTATAAACTAGAGGCCCTTTGCAGGAGGATTCCTGCAAGAATAGGGCTTCGCTCCCGTCTCTGCGGCTCTTACCCCGCCCATCTCTGCCACTTCTCTCCCAACCATCTCCGCTACCTCGGCTCCGTTGCTTGGCTTCCTTCTACGTTGTCTTCAGTCTTCGCTCCCAGCCAGTATATGCAAATTAGCCGCCATCTTTGTTGGCAGTTAATTTGCTTATCTCGCTGATTAGCCAATGGGAAGCATAGCGAAGGTATGGTCAATTACCATGTTTGTCTATTATTAGATAGGATAGGCTGCCTGGCCAACTAGGTAAAAGCACAGGAAGTGACATCAGATGAGATATTTCATTAGACTTACATTTCATCACATTTCTCCCAGGGGCTGCTCACCCTGAAAGGACAGAAAAGCATTTCACATGTTAAGTAGTCAGTCCCAGCAAACCTTAGGGGGTGGGGGCCAGCAAGTGCTGCAGACCCACCAGGACGGCCTGGCGCGCTCCTTGCCGGGCCTCCCCCTGTTACATAGAATGAGGGGAAGAAGAATGGAGCATGTTGAACACTGTCATTGTCCCACAGCAGTGGTTCGTGGCCACAGGTGGGCAGATTGTCTGAACTGCAGGTCTCAGATTAGGCCACGCTCAGACCTTCCTTTCAAGACATTAGGACCCCACTTCGGTGCGTCTACCTGGCTGGTTACCAGTGATTGCAGCTTTCATCAGTGAAAAGTGTCTCTCTCGGAAGTCCTCTGTTTCGCCTTCTTTTCCAGCTGGACCACTCTTGATACAGATCTCCTCCGTGGCCTCTCCATCCGGGACACGGACTAGACCTGTGTCACCACCTCCTGGCGCACAGGGTTCAGATCAATAGTCATGCGCCCTCCGTGTGGCTGCCGGTGTCCCTGCCACCCGCACCTGGGCTTCCTTCTCTTGCTCATTTTTTACACAAAGCTTTTTCTTTGGATCCCATGTTCAGACTGTTCAGTCAAGGGATAAATCCATTTCAGATTTTCCTTTTTCAAACTCGTTGGACAAGTGGTTGTTAATCTTTCTTTTTTCACAATCTTCTAAGAACCTCATTATTTTCATTTTCTAAATGCCAGAGAAAATATAGGCAGTATCCTTTAATGCCAGACAGTTAGGTGGAAAGCGGGGAAAATAAATTTGTCATTTGGATTTATTTAAGTAGCCAGATCTGCATCGTAAAAAGCTGAAAGGGAGTCGTAATTGGGTTGCGTTGGTGAGACGGGGCATCGGGTCATGTTAGGTTTGACTCTGGGGGAACCCCCAGTGCCATGGCAGTGACTGTTGCCCCTGCCCCCTCCCAGGAACCAACGTCCACGAGGCCCAGCGCATCCTCGGCAGCAGCGGGCTCCCCATCACTTCGGCCGTCGACCTGGAGGACGCAGCCAAGAAGGCCGTGGCCAGCGTGGCTAAGAAGTGAGCCTTTGCCCTGATCCCCCAGAGGAAGAAGTCCATTCTGCCATAGAAAGGGATGGTTCTCTCCTCACTGAAGGAAATGGTTATCTCTTTGGGGGAAACACGGGAAGGGGAGAAGCAAGACCATTTGCGAAAAACCTTAATTCTGTATCTTCTTGAACCAGATATCTAGACAGACTAATCTGCTTTCACTTATGTCTTTATTAAATTAACGCCCTGTGTTCTCACACTTTTCTGTCACCGTGAGCCTACTCAGTAGACCCTGTGTGGCCGACACTGGGGAGCGTCTGATGGCAGTTTGGGTGACATTTAATCCTGAACAATAAAAAATCACAGGCCGTGCAAACTCAGGCAAGACTACCTTAACAGATTAACTCTCTAACAGGTGCAGCGAAGACAGTCAACCAAATAGCTGTTACACTGTCACAGCTTTTCCACATTCCTGATTCCAGCACATGCTGGGAAAACCCATGAATATTCCAAAATATATTTTACAATGGAAGGTCCACACTTCACATGATATTCCATATATTCTTACCTTTGCCTTAATGCTGAGTATACTCCTTACCTCACTCGAAATAAAGCCAGAAGCCTTACTTGTGATTTTTTAGTAGATTTTATTTAATGTGAAAACTGAAGAGATCTGATTCTTATGGAAATCTCTGTAATGTTATCGTGAATGTCAATACCTTCCCCCCCTGCCCTTTTTGGCCCCCCAGAATCTACCAACTGGGAGCACGTAATTAAGAGAATATGGTTTCTCCTATAGTGCCCATTGATAGGGGAGAGCGAATTAGGTTTACGATGATATTTTGCTAAATCTTTATTTGTACACAAATTTAAATAAAATCCTGTTTTGTAAACTCTAAGATCTGTGTATTTCTCATTTTTGTCAATATTATTCCTTAAACACTTTTCTCCAAAAATTAGGAAATTTGGGTTATATATTATACTAGAGGCCCGGTGCACAAAAATTTGTGCACTCGGGAAGGAAGGGGGGGTCCCTCAGCCCGCCCTGTGCTCTCTCACAGTCTGGGACCCCTCGGGAGATAACGACCTGCTGGCTTAGGCCTGCTCCTGGGTGGCAGAGGGCAGGCCCAATTCCTAGGTGCAGCCCCTGGTCGGGCTCAGAGCAGGGCTGATTGGGGAGTTGGGGCGCCGCCCCCTGTCATGCACAGAGCAGGGCCCATCAGGGGGTTGGGGAGCTCCCCCCTGTCA